CAAGATGCATTTCGAATAAGAGAATAATTTATTGGACATTTAGCCATTAAGTGTTGTTCCATTGTTAAGACACATTGTTGACCTTGTTTCAATGCAAAACTTGCAGCTTGTGAAATGTCCTTCTTGCGGCATTTATCATTCATTAGCTGCTCAGCAATGAATCCCAAATAAACTTTACTTTTATCATTATAACAATTTGGAACATTAAAATTAAATTTATAAAGATTTTCGGTACTATTCGGTTTCGAGGGCCGTAAAAAAATTGCAGCGAAAATGTACGTGCAAAAGCGCCAAATCTAGCAAACGCGCCCATTTAACAGTGCGCCAAATCTAGCGTACACGCTGATTTCAAGATTGCGCAAGTTTACATAGTTCTATATTTCTTAAGACGCCATTGAAATACTAGTTTAATTTTTAAATTATTTTTTGATTTTAAAGTGCTAAAAGCAATCATTTACAAGTTTTAAGATATCTTTAGCAAAAAAGGGAATAAGTGGCTTATTGCTTTGATAATATTCAAGGAAAGGCAATAATATTTTCGACAGAGAGAGAAAAAAATTTAATTTTATAAGAAATGTTTTATCCTTAGTTGCCTCCAAAATATTTGAGAAGGATTTCAATGAATTTTTTTTAAACTGCCCCATTTCAACTTTTTTAACGTATAGTAGCAAGTCATCCCATATTTCAATGGCTCTTTCAACTGCTGAGACATTTTGCAACTATCGGTAACAGCAGAACTTCACAGCAGAAAATTTTAATTAAAACATTATTTCTTTATCTGATGGAGCAAAGATAAAAATTCTGCAATAATTGGTTTTATTGTTAAACAAAAATGTATGAATTTTTCTTACGCACTATATATTAACACTTAAAAAATGTACTATATCGACAAAAAATTGCGACATCATGAAATATTCTAGGCAAGCATTCCTGCAGAGATTACGTTACATCGCTAAAATTGCCATAAGAATGCTATATTGGCAATACCATGAACACGTTTTCTCCGTGTAGCAGCCATTCTGCTTATCGGTCATTTTCTTTTAATTTATTAATCTTCCGTTTCTTTTATTTCTTCCTTATCATTTCAACACTGACTTTTTATTCAAGATTTAGCTTTTATTTTAATTTCTAGTTATAAATAGGTGAAATTAGCTTAATAACAAAAGATAATTTCAATCATTATCACAATGAAATTTTATATCGACCAACTATTTGGATAACTGATGCGATATTAAAATTCAATAAAATTCTTCTGAAAGCAGTATTCCTTTTATAAAATACTTAATAAAATTCTAGTATATACGGTGCAGCCTTGGTACAATTTTGAAAATTATCGCCAACAACACCCAAAATGACCCATTTAACTACTCATCGTATATGTCCCGTTTACTGCTCATCATAAAGTTGCCAAAAGTAGCCAAATCCCTTATGCAACGGATACCTTGTGCATAGGATTAAATTAAATACTTAATTGTCTATTGAAGCTTCAAAATGTATTTCCGAACTTAACTTTTTTTCGGCTAGCGTTACCGAATTTACCCTTGGCGACCTAAAATCGAAATGGAGCCAATAGATTTCCCGCAAAATCGATAACAGACCCTCTGCAGAAATAAACTCATAATCCCAATATCCCATACATATTTGTGCAAAAGAGAATAAACTCCGTAGAAGGTGATCAAAGATTAATTTATGGCTTAATTCAAACAAACACAGAAATTAAGGTAAGCAAAACCGTGTAAAAACAAATTGAAATGATAAAACGAAACTTAGCTTTCATGTGAATTTTCAGCGCTGACTGTTCCATTCTAGAAATTTCAATTTGTTTCAGACAAAGACCACATTTAGCTTTATAAGGATTGTCATCCATCAACATCCAGGTCTTTGTAGTCAGCTTGATGAAGCCACAGTTTATTGAAAACGCACTTTCCAGGCATCTTGTTCCTATTGGCGTTGGAGGGGTTGTGGCCTTCCAGGTTGGGATTGTTCTAATTTTGGCAAATATTTTCAGAATCCCCCCTTTTTTCCCTTGAGCACCTTCATCATCACTTTCGCCTCTTAAAGAACTTCCGGCTTCATGCTTTCATCACAATCTGCATAAATTTATGGATAACACCTGTTTCGAAAGATTGGGTGAATAGCCAATCAGACACCTGATACTTTCGTCCTAGGGTAGCTAATTGTTTTTTTTTATCGTTTGCAATGCAAATCCGCCAACAGATTGGTTAAGAGCTGTGTAATTTTAATTCCATATTCATGAGAAATCGCATTTCACACTTAGAATGGCAATCATTAGAAATGATAAGAAATGTCAAATGAGCAAAATTAAGGACCGTTTATTCATTTTGACCAAAATTAAGGACTTTTAAGGACCAAAAATCATTTTTGAAAAATTTAAGGACTTTACGAACCCTGTACATTACACTGAGCAACAGTATCTAACTTTAAATATAAGTATTTAGATATGTTTGAGTTTTTAACCTAAGCTCTACCTTTAGAAAATTGATTCTTATCTTTGATACTTTGAGAATATATTCATCATTGAGAAGTGATCAATGTTCTAAATTATTCTGGATAATGTTCATACTTATTTTTGCACATTTAGAAAAGTGATTTTCCTTTTTACATGGTAAACAATCTTATTAATCTGGATAATTATATAACTCATGAATATTTACACATTTTCCACACAGATTTAAATCACTGAACTAATTTTCTTTATAATTTGAAGATGATTTAACATTTTGTAGCATCTGTTTAACACAGTATTTATTATTAAATGCTTTGAGTCCCCCCCTGAATGCAAAATTTCATTCCCCTTTATCACTTCTATTTTATTTTCTTCAGTTAATGTTTTTAGCTGAACTTCTGCTAATTCAACAGCTTTACATATTTTAATTCATTTCTCCAATGTTAACTGATCTTCCCTTAATCTTTGAGACTTTTGTTTAAAATACCACTTATTACTGTCTCACTAGTTAAAAGTAACCTTCACCACAGCAAATCTACAGTAACTACTAATTTCTTGAATTTTGTTAAGAAATCATTGAACGAATGATTCATCTGTATGTTGGCATTTGGAATATATATATATATTATTTCCATTTGCTTTCAGAATGCAATAATTTTCGAAAACTCCAATTACTTTTTCAGTATGCTTTATCATCATTTAAATCAAATATATTAAATTTTTCTAGAGCTTTTTCACTAATAACATGGAATAATATACGCCTTTAGTGCCTGGCGACTTAGCATTACCATCAGATACTAACACATAAGTATAGCACTTTTGTTTCCATTTCTTCCAATTTACCCTAATGTTCCCTTGAAACCTCAAACTATTGCATGGCTTCAGTCACTCTGGGTTTAATTGAAGAGTTTAAATAGCATAGACCTTGCATATTTATAAGCCACTTCACTAGCCAATTAGCAATGCTCTTACCTATGAGGATAAATATCAAATTCATTACAAACAACTTCCATTCATATATCACTGTTCATGTAATCTTGAAGGTATCTCACAACTGATCATTGTGTGGTTGAGCTTCAACATTTTTTTCATTAGTTGTGTCATGCAATGTTATTAATAAGAGGATAATAATAATGACTGCTTGAAATCATTTAATACTACTCTTGAATGGTTGTCTGCATCACTTGCCACAGTTTGAAGCCATCACCATCATCACTTTTGTCATCGTTTTTGTCAACATTTAGAATCTCCATTCATCTTATCACATGCGATCAAAAGCATTAGATATCCCCATTTTCTTGAACCTCTTCATATTATTGCAGTCAGAGCTCATGTATACAAAATCCATGAGCGTATCAATTACTGAGACTAAAACAATCATTTCATGAACAAATTCCTTTTAAAATTTCAGGGAATTTTATTTCCTGAATGACTTAAGGATATGTTGAAAATTATGTGAATTCTTAAAAAAATTTTAAAATCTTGAGCTGAATACTACTGCATGGATAAACTTGATGTACCCTATATTAATGCAAAACAAATACAAATATAACTGATTAAACATTGGCTGAATATTCATTCATTGAAGTTCTACAAATGTCTGTACTAAATTAAGACAATTTGGGTGAAATAAAATTTAATGAGAAAAATAACGCTGAAAATCAAAAAAGCTGAGAGAACTTAATTTGCATAACTTGAGTTTAATTAAAACTATTAGATTTCATTTATTGCTGAAAAACGCTTTCCTCAGGAAAGACTAAAAATTAAAAACCAACAGATTTGGTGATCGACCGGGAAACCGTAGGAGTTGGGAGTTATGTTTCATAGGAACAGATTATGAAATCATGGCAATTTCTTCAAATCAAATCTAATCTATATTATGCAAACATGTCGAAACAATCAGGTTAGAATCTAAAAAATACAAAGATGATTTTTGTATTTTATTAAGTTCAAATTGTTTTAGAAAAGGAAGTGATTAACTGAAAAATATATTCAAGTATGGAAACTTTGTGTTTTTGTGGTTACTGCACCAAATTTATAAGGGTTCTTAGAACGTTTTTCCTACCTTATATGACACCTATCTTTGCAATTAATTCATATTTTTTTTTTTAAATACAATGGTATTAATAGCCTGGCATGTTGCACGACAGTACTACTTCAATAGTTTTCTTTAACAGACTTAAGCCATGAGTAGGATAAATGCATCATGTAAACTGATAATCACCAAAGTTATCTTTTTTAAAACAATAACCTTCACAGAATATTAAAACTGTCTGAATGGATAGTCAACTTAAAAATGTTTCACAAGTAAAAATAAAGATATTTTAAATTCAAAGAATTATAAATGCCTACTTTATTCTCATTTATTACATAAGTCATCCTAGGTATTTTATTACTTATAAAAATGTCTGACTGATAACTTATATTAAATTTTATACTAAGTAGCAGCTAATTAACTGAGACAAGATATCCAAAGCAACCAGAGTCAATTACATATTAATAACAAATGAATAAAAATATTTACATATATCACCTGAAACTGAAGGGGTCAAAGCTTGAAGAATTCTGGAACTTTGAAAAAGCTATATCTCTCTGTTGGATAACTTCACACAAAATATTCTGTAATACAACACAATTTTTGAATATTATAGACATAGTAAACAATGAAGAATAACAAGTAATATATGCAAATATATTAAATTCATTATGTATATCACTTCTGAACAAACAGTTTTGACAATCAAAATATTTGTTCACATCAGTAAATAAATAATAAATCATCACTTTCTCACAAGCTACTTTTAAACATAATTTTATGTTCAAACTTGTTATGGATCAAACATGTCTAATAAAAACAAAAAATCTAAAGATTTAAAAAATTTTATTCGATACCACAAGTTAAAAAAAAAGTATTTTAAGAAACAAATGGCTTCATTTTCTTTAAAATCATGCAAAAGATGTTAGAAATTATTAAAAACATAAAATGTATCTATCTATGAATCAAGCATATGGACATGGCAGATGGTAAGGACTACCAGAAAAAATCAGATTTCATTACTTCATATAATGTACTTTAAAAATTTAAATCATATACTAGAAAAAAAAAAGTTTAAACCAAAAGGAAATATTTACTCACCAAAACTGTCAAGAATAATTATGGATTTCTATCATCACTATTTTGGATGTTTAATGTAAATAAAATGCTGAATCTTTTAATATTGCGATAAACAACAAGTAGATGGGTTACTTTGAATTCAGAGGAGAAACCATTAAGATCCATTATGTAGCCAACCATTCCATGAAACACATTTAATATGGAAATTAAGTGCTGTCTGTGTAACAAGCAAGCACACACACAACATGGTATCAATAGTTTTTACCTTAATACTCTGTAATTGAAGATGCAGTTGGGTTGTTGTTGGAAATTTTATGCATCACTCACGGAATGTGAAATAATGGTTTTTAATGAAAGTTTTCTGCGCCGCAAATATCATCTGCACAAATAGTTCGTATTGGCATATTTAATCATATTTTGTCAAACAATTTTCGTCATTTAAAAGAAAAAGACTTGCTTTAGTGACTGTGTTGTGAAATTTGTAAAACAAATATTGTTATTATTAAGTACAAAGTGTCCGAAATGGAAATATCATAATACCAGATTCGAACCATCATTTAATTCCAGTTTTGTTGCAAAACATCAACTACAGAATGTCACCAAACCACACGTACAGCTTTAGGTACTAATGTTCTATCATATGACACTAAAAGTTTGATGCCGAAAATTCAAAAACAAGGACTATGGCATTCCAGAAGCACAGTGATCTGGCCGGCCTACTGATGTTGATGACGCCAGCCTGTGAGAACTTGTGGAAGAAGATCAGTATGCAACCAATTGAGATATTACTAAGGAGTTAAATATTACTGCCATGTCAATTAGTCGCACTATGCATCTCATAAAATTGATGTACAAGTTCAATTGCTGGGTGATGCATAAACAAATAAGGACAGACGTGTTTTAGCCTGCACTAATCTACTCGAACATCAAAGCAAGGACAAAATTCTGGATCGGATCATCACTTGTGATGAAAAGTGAATTTACTTTCAAACACTGGCGAAAAGTGGGTTGTCTGCACCCGGTGAACATGCTGACAGCGTGGCAAAGTGCAGTTTGACTAACAAAAAGATCATGCTTTGTATCTTGTGGGATTGCCATGGTATTATCCACAAAGAGTATTTGGAAAAAGGTAAAACCCTTGACAGTAAGGTGTACAGCGAGGTGCTAGTTCATTGTTGATGCTGCTATCAAGGAAAAATGTCGAACTGAGTTCTGGCACAAAAAGGTAATGTTCTATGAAGATAATGCAAAACCACATGTGTTTGCATTCACCGGCTGGACTCTGGTGTGGACGCGAATGGGATTTTTGTCACACCTACCATATAGCTCCGACACTGCCCCTTCGGATTTCTACCTTTTTTCACACCTGAAGCTACATCTTTCTGGTTCTATCTTCCATTCTGCACATGATGCCTGAAATGAGATTGATCTGTTTCTGGACTCGCGGCCACTAAGTTTCAGGGCTGAATGCTTTGAAAAACTACCAAAATGTTGACAGAAAATCATAGATTTGGGCGGTGATTACTACCCGCACTAAAGGTACCGCTTTCATGTTTTTTTCTAACTTTATTAAGAATTAGATTTTGGCGGAAAGCTTTTATTACAACCGGATAGACTATAAAAACAAAGTAGTCTGACTGCAACTGAAAATGGAAGCACTTCAGCATGCACATGAAATCAGCTTGGCTAAACTATGCCAAGTTACTGCAGGAACTTAGCTGACACATGCAACAAATGGACACAGAAGTTTAAAACCTACCTGATTGATAAAGAAACAAAGATGAATATTATAAAGACAGCCATTTTGCTTAATCTTCTAGGTGATGAAGGTATGGAGATATTCCATACTTTAAGAAACCAGTACTTTTAAAAAGTAGAAATAAAGTAAAATTTGGCGAAGTTAAGGAAATGTTTAAGAACTACTGTAATCTAAATGAGAACGTGGTACAATAAAAGCTCGGGATAATTGAAAATTCCGGTTTGTTATACATACGTAAAATATAAAATCTAGCTTTCAAATAATAAATTAATAATAGCAATTTAACTTCCGTTTAATTCTAAAAAAAAACAGAAATAAATTTGTCTCCCTGCAGTTCTGATGTGCACTTATCGATGAAATCTGAACCCAAAATCCTGTACATTAAAGTGTCAGGTGATCTGAAGTTGAATTTGGTATAAAAAGGTCAGTTGCATCACAACTCTTTCTCTTCTGTCTTTTGTCTTGCGTAGTGCCGCTATCCTAGAAGAGTTACTTTTCTAAATTTAGTCCATTTTTGAAAGAAAATGCAAGCTATACAGAATTGATAGGTGCATAGCGCACCCACAATCATTATGTGCAATATTGAAAAATGAAATTATGCATGGAATTTACTGTTGTGTGAGTTCTTGGAGTGTCATCTCGCTAACTACACAGCAAAGTCTTCAAGTTATGATGCAGTTCTCTCAGACGCCAATCCATTGCAACTCTAAGTGATCTTATTTCAATAATGGAGCAGTTTTATCACATATAATGAATGGCGCAGTCAAACTCGTGCAAAATGATCCATTCTTGATTGAACATTGGTTCATGGAATTGTGAATTTAAAAGTGTTCAGTTGTCTATCAATATCAAGAAAAAAGGGGAAAAAAATATTTTCCCTGGCTGTCTACTGATTAAATTTCCAGTCTACCTCTGCTGTATAACGAGTGATCAACAAGACGAAGTAAAAAAAGAAAATATCCATCTTCATACATTAACAAGCATTTCAAAGTTGTTTTGTCTAAAACTGTTTTTAGTGAGTGAGATCTATCTTCGTATTAATCTTTATTGTTTAGCTATTTTATCGACTATATTATGAATTGACATTCCTTTCAGCGGTGCAAAAATGCAAATTATGCAACAGATTTTAAATTTTACATCTAAATGTAGGATGTGTAAAATGTAACATTCCTGAAATTGTATCGATTTGCAAAAGCAAAAAAATATTGTTTAAAAAAATGACTCAATATTTCCAATACGACTTTTAATTTACAAATTTTGAGAGTTTATTTAATGTTATTGTGTAAATGATGCATGCCAAATGTTTTTCATTATCACGAAGTAAGTGATTTTTAATTAAGTACTGCTTTGAAATTTAGGTATCTAATGTTATTTGCATTAGATTTTAAAAATTTAGTATGATTTTTATGAAAACGATTAGAATTTTATGATTAAAAAAAAAGAGTAGTTTTTCGTAATTATGTTTTATATAGTTAAAACGAATATAAAGATTTATAATTATTTTATCTAAGTTTACTAAAATTATTGTAGTAATAAATAGAAATGAGATTATTATTTTAAATTTGAATTTTTGAGCTAAATCTGAAAAATGAACGAGTTAATTTTGAAAAACTGGTATAGAAAAAGTGCATATAGAATTCTGTTTTGAATATAATGTAGAAAATATGTTACTTAAAATGAATATAAAATTACTAAAGAGGATAATTGCATGTAGAGGGAGTGCTGGTTCGAAACAGAAGCCCACTTTTTACCTCTGTTATTTCTTCCTTTTACCCTCCTCATATCAGAAAATATAAACTAAGGTTACCACTTAGTAATTTTTTCATATAATTATTTTTTATATAAATGGAGTGCATGGAGTTTTTTTATATAAACGGAATTTTTATAAATGGAATGTAGTGCAGTTCAAAAAGGCCAGTTGCCTTTCAACAAGGAACGGAGGCCTTTATAAGCAACTGGCCAAAGCAAGCCTTAACCACTCAGGATAATACACAAGTCAGTTTTAAGTGGTTTTCCCTAATAGATGGAAATGTCTGTATTAGAGAAAGCTGAAGGAGATCTTCTAGTTTTCTGTAAAATAAGAAAATTAAAATAGGTAACAATATTAGTAGAAATTATAATTTTAGTAATACTATCATAAAATTTATGATGTCAAAATATCGAAAATTAGTCATGCTTTGAAATTTGTTGTAAATATTCAAAATACGTACTATGTGTGTGCAAAATTTTTACAACTGCGCAAAGCCTTCCCTGAAAAAAAAAATTTAATTAATTGGACTCTAAAACAAAAAGACTTTTGGACTGAAAAAACTTTAATAGGACTTTAAAATATTATCCAAGTTTATATTTTGCAATTATGTAAATAATTACTTTGCTGAAAATTTCAGGATTGTACTTTTCAAATTATTTCTCTTCATTTTCTTCAATGCTTTCTTTCCAAAAACCTTTGTTCTCTCACCTATCCCTTTTCTTCTTCAAAGAGGGGGGATATGTAAAATATAAAATATCTAATATGTAAAATATAAAATCTAGCTTTCAAATAATAAATTAATAATAGCAATTTAACTTCCATTTTATTCTAAAAAAAAAAACAGCAATAAATTTGTCTCCTGGCAGTTCTGATGCGAACTTATCGATGAAATCTGAACCCAAAATCCTCTACATTAAAGTGTCATGTGATCTGAAATGGAATTTGGTATAAAAAGGTCAGTTGCGTCACAACTCTATCTCTTCCGTCTCTTCTCTGTGCCGTGTCGCTGCCTTGCATTACCGCTAGCCTCGTAGAGTTACTTTTCTAAATTTAGTCTATTCTTTAAGAAAATGTAGGCTGTACAGAATTGAGAGGTGCATAAGGCACCCAGAGTGATAATGTGAATTATCAAAAAATAAAATTATGTGCGTTCTTCGAGTGTTATCTCGCTAACTATGCAGAAAACTCTTCAAGTTATGATGCAGTCCTCTCCAACACCAATCCGACGCAGCTCTCACTAAGTCATCTCATTTCATTAATGGAGAAGTTTTATCACATATATAAAGTGAATATAAGAAAGTGAAACGAATTGAAAAAATTATAAAAACAATCATCGTCTTTGTTAGAAAGTTGAATATCAAAAGCTCACATTTAAATTATATAAGATTTTGAGAAAAGAAACGTATTTCAGACATAAATGCTCATGCATTTAGCCTTAAACATGAAAGTAAGACATCTGATCTGATTATGAAAGCTTTATAACTGTAAAAGTTGGGGAAGATGTCACCAATCATTCCAGCAGAAGTTTAAATGAGCAGATTGTATTTCACTTAGATAACAAAGTGATACAGATTACAGATATAGTATACAAGACAGCTTAAATTGCTTATCATAATTTTTCACATTACATTACCATTGTTTGTCCATTTCCAAAGCCATGCATTGTGGGTTTTTTTTTTTTTTTTTTAATGCATGAATCCTGTAATTTTAAAATACTCAGCTTCATGCTGTTCCAAATATTAATAATTTTTTCCAAAATGTGAGAAAAAGTAGAAATTATATACAAAAATAAAACTGGTTTACTGAGAAGTTTACATTAAACCAAAACAAATTTCTTATAATTGCATTGTGATATTATGTTTATATATTATTGGTGTTAAATCACACTGTTTTGGTGACAATGTGTGTTTGTGATTTATATTTAAAATAACTATAACTGTAACGGCGTTCATGCTATGCTATTCCGTTGTTGTGATGCATGTGTTGTGCTAGCTTAATGTCATGAGAACTGTTTTTAAATAAAATTCTGAATTTATGTGAGCCATACTAATTAGTTGAGTCTACTTTGAAAGTATAGAAGTTATTAAGTGGAACAAACTACACAAGAAATTACATGATGTCAGGGGCAAAATGGATTTCAGACAACCTGCTGCGCTGACATTCTCCGTCGGAAACGTTAAAGAAAACTGGAAGCAAGAGCTAGAAAACTCAACGGAAAAAAATGCCAAGCCAGATAAGACTAAAATTGCAATTCTTTTGAATTTACCCGGTACTGAAGGACTCCAAATTTATAACACGTTTCGATTTGAGCCACCTGAGAATAAAGAGAAGTACAAAGAGACTTGAAGTCTTTTGAAGATTATTGTTCACCACGGCAGAATGTCGTATATGAACGTTACAAATTCTTTTCGTGTAGCCAGCAAGAAGGACAAACAATTGAATGTTATGTCACTCAGTTAAAGACTTTAGCGTCAACTTGTGAGTTTGCTGAACAAGAAAATGGATTGATTCGCGACCGTATTGTATTAGGCATTCGGGATAGGAGTCTGACCGAACGTTTGCTTCGAGAATCTAACCTAGGATTAGAAAAAGCTATAGAAATAGTCCGTGCCGCTGAAACAAGCAAAGAGCAACTCCGGAACATGAAAGATGATCCAGCGACTGTGAACAGCGTGAAGAAATATAGAAAACAGCAGCATCAATCAAAACAGTCAGTGCCACCGAAATTGTCGTCGCAGCAGAAGCAATCAGCACTAGAATATGACTGCAAGAAGTGCGGAAGAAGGCACAAATATCGGGACTGTCCAACTTTCGAAAGACGTGTGCGAAATGCAAAGTAAAGAACCATTTTGCCGCGAGGTGTCCCAAGAACATTTATGAAGTTGGAATACCAAATAATGAACTTAGTATATATAATGAACATAGTGTATTTGTTGACTCTGTAATGATAGATCCACCAGTAAATGGGCATAGTGAATTTAAAATAAGTGCAAAATCAATCAAAGAACTAACAAATTCTATTGATGAAGTAAATAAGGATATTCACAAGGTAAGTGAAACATGGGTGAAAAGTATTACAATGTATGTAAATAATAAGTCTTTCAAGGTTGATTTTAAGTTAGATACTGGTGCAGAAGTAAATATTTTGCCTTTATATGTTTTAACTGATTTGTTCTTAACTGCATATGGTAATTTTAAGTTAAAACCAGAAGGTACTCTTATAATTAATTGTTCAACTGAAAGTCTTAAAGATGTACCTTTACAGTTTTATGTTCTTGATATAAGATCTAAGCCTATATTAGGGTTAACAGCTTATTCTGCATTAAAGCTAATTGAAAGGATTGACTCCTTTAAGTGGAATACCATTAATAAAAATGATTTCACTGCTCAGTATAAAGATGTATTTACAGGTACAGGGCAATTTCCTGATGAACCATATCATATAACCCTTAAAGATGATGCAATACCAGTAATACCCCCCTAAACATGTTCCTCAGGCTTTACAGTCTAAATTAAAAGATACTTTAAATAAACTTGAAAGAGAAGGGATAGTATTGAAAGTAAATAAACCAACTGAGTGGGTTCAAAGTTTGGTTATAATTGAAAAACCTAATGGCAATCGTCTGAGATTATGCTTGGATCCTAGAGATCTAAATAAACTAATTGAAATGGAACACTATTAGATTCCTTCTCCAGATGATATAATTAGTAGGTTAGAAGGTAAAAAAAAATATTTTCAGTTAATGAAACTAGTTCTGAACTATGTACATTTAATACCCCTTATGTAAGATATAAATTTAATAAAATGCCATTTGGAATATCCTCTGCCCCAGAAATATTTCAGAAAAGAAACCAAAAATTATTTGGTGATATTAAGGGTGTGGAAGTTTATTTTGATATCATAATTGCAGGATCTGATGAGGTTACTCCTGATATAATTCTCTAAGGTTCTTGAAAGAGCTAGGTCTCTAAATATAAAATTTAATCCTGATAAATTACAATATAGGGTACCGGAAGTCAAATATGTAGGCCAAATTATTTCTGAGTCAGGTGTAAAAGCCGATCCTAGTCATATTAAAGCAATTATTGATATGCCAACACCAAAATCAAAAACTGAAGTAAGGAGGTTGTTAGGAATGTTAAATTTTCTGTCAAAATTCATACCTAATGTATCTAAAGTTACTGCTCCTTTAAGAGAAATCATTCAAGAAAAGGTAGAATTTAATTGGGAAGAAACTCAGGAAGAGTCATTTAACAACATCAAACAACTGCTAACTAAAGTTCCAAATTTAAAAAGTTTTCAGTGGTTTGGTTTGGTTTATTTAATCACGGCTAAGCACACTAGGGCTATCTGCTTAAGGGGAGGGATGCCTTCGTGGAGGACTTTCTAAGGGAAAAAGCTTGTATACACGTTACACATGGGAAAAAAACACGAAAATGCCCATGTAGCCAGCCCGTTTGCAGGATTCGAACCTCGGACCAAACTACCACTGTTCAGCGACTTTAAAGTTTTCAGTGGTAATGAGG